AGTTCCACTCAAAAGCCAAACCAAACACCCCACACTTTAACTTTTACAAATTTCATAACAATTCAAGTGCCCATGAGAGGTGAAAATGTTCAAATAGATGGTTAATTCAAACAAATGAGTAAGACTTATAATGTGGTTGCCAAAGAAACAGGATTACAGGCTCAAAGGGGTTAACTATGATACATAACAATTAGGCGGGTAAAATATTTATATAGGCTCAACAAAAAAAACGCCTATATCACTTCCAAGACTGAACAAAACTACTATTTCGCTTTGCAAACACACGGGGCAAGTTCTAGACATCGAATGCAATGCACAGAATAACACAAAACCTTACACACACATGGCACATAACTCACTCAGGATTGGACTTATCAAGACACTCTAGTCAAAGAAGTTAAGCAAAGTTAAGATCATACAATTTAAGGTACTTATACAAGAGTCAAAAATTGAGCCTAAGCGTCACAACTAAAGTACTCACTATTCTCAAGGCATGACAAAGTTAGAAGATATTGATTCAATTCAATTCACATCACCATGGCTTCTCTCCTTAAAAAAATAAAACTACCTACATCCGGTTCAAACAAAACCCTTGGAAAAGAACCGCGGCACAAAGAAAAACCAAGGGGGAATTGCTACACTATCTACAAAGAAAATCTTTTTGTCCTTTCTCTTAGACTTACATCCCTCAAGAAAACTGTCTAGGAGATCCATCGTCGGGAAAAGTGTAATTTTTTTTTTCGTTTTTCGTTTTTCTAAAAAAAAATATTCAATTAAACTAACACAACTAAAATAGCATAGAAAGTCACTCAGACAATCTCCTCACCCCACACTTAAAATTGTGCAAAGTCCTCAATGCACACTAAAAATAACAAGAGGGTAAAAGAAACTCCCTGGTAGGCCAAAGGCCGAAGAATTAGCAGCTCATGGGATACTCAGACTTCTCCCACGTATGATCCCTTGTGCGGGTACCTCAGATAAAGTTTCAACACCTGCTCGCTTTTGCACACTTCCTGTTAGCTTTGATTCCATGCTCGTACTCCTACAAAACACAAAAATAATACTACAAAAAAAATAACACAATAAAAAAAATAAACAAAAGAAAAAAAATAAAAAATAAAAAATAAAATTGGGTAGCCTCCCAACAAGCGCCTTATGTAACGTCGCGGCACGACGCCATCACTTTCACCACTTTTCCTTCCACTTTGAGGATATGAATTGCGCCCCCAGTTTTGCATCAATTTTTGTGTCGCGTTCTTGGCGGTGGTGTAAAAGCAAATGAACCAAGTAATAGGTATCGCATCTTGCACTTCTTGGCCTTTAAGTGAGGAATGTCGTTTTGTCTCCTTGACATCACAAATTTAAGAATATAAGCACTTTGTTCCTCATCTATTGACTCCTCCATATGCTCGACTGGATCAATTCCCATGTCACCAACCAAACACAATGTTGAAAAGTGTTTAGAATGAGGTCCAATACGCTCCAACTCCAAAATTGCATTACTTTTGACATCCTCAATTTTGCACTCTTCAACCTCGGCAACATCAACAAAAGCATGGTCTAATGATTGGTATTCTCGTTTTAGCTCCTCAATTTGGCCTAGAAGATCTTTTTCAGCTTCACACAACTCATCACTAAATTGTTGGGCGTTACATGCATCAACTTTTGCACTCAATTGAGCCTCTAAGTCGTGAATAGAACTTCCAAATTGATCGATCTCTTGTCCCAGTTCAGCTCTTCCTTCTATAAATTGTTGCATCTCATTCATAATTTTCTCACGGAAACCTCCATATTCCTCTAATAATTTCCCGTGCATATCAAGAATGCGAACATCGTGTTCTACATCATCCAATTCGTTACTCCTGTCAAACTCACAAGAATTATTAGAATCAACATAAGAAGGGATTAGAGTAGGATAACAACACTTAGGACAATTATTCCAATTTCCATCACAAATAGTACATGATGGAGATGGTGCACCCAACTCGGTACTAGGAATATTTTTACAATATTGCCACAAGTGGGGTCCTTTACAATATGGACAAGGATCACAAAAACAAGAATACTTACTATCCCACCACTTTTCGTTCAAAGATGCCATGTATGAAAAAAAAAATTATAACACTAACTACACTAAATTAAAGTTAAAAACTTAAATAGATAAAAAGTAAAAATCTAATCTAGTAAGATAGTTAATTTCTAAGTCCCCGGCAACGGCGCCAAAAACTTGTTGCTCCAAAACGCACACGCAAGTATACGTGATCGACAAGTAATATAGGATTATAAGTCCAGATATCGTACCCACAGGGACTTGTGATTAACTATCAACTAAATTAAACCAAACAATTAATCTATTCAAGCGATTCCTAAAGTATGAATATTTAACTAAAATTAAACTAGAGTAACAAATTAAGAGATCAAAGAAAATAAGTTGGCGAATTAAAGAGACGAATTCAATGTGAGTGAATATTCTAGAGCTATGGGTTAGCTAACAATCCCGTTGAGTTTTCCACCTAAATTGTCTAATTAATTTATCTGGTTTATTGATTGACAAGGTTATTATTGCTCGTAGCCTTCTCCCGAAGTACAACTCGCCTATTCAAGCTAACCTAACGCCTATATTCCTATGGAATTAGGATTAACAAGAACACCTTTATAATTCCCGTATAATAACCAAGCAAGGCGATTAGGTATATTCCTATCCTAACCGCAAATCCGCTCCCCCTAAGAGTTAAGATCTTGCTCTACTCAATCTTATAGGCAATCTAGAATTCCCTCTCCCGAGTTCAATCCTAGATTCGTAGATATTATTCAATTGGTGATCAAGCAATCAAATAATTAAGCGCAAGATTGAATAAACAAACCAATATGATAAAATAATAAGAACAATTCAAGCTTCAAACTACAACGTTCATGTAGCACCCAAAACTCTAGAACTAATAAACTATAAAATTAAAGGAAGAGAAGAGAAGAAAAACTAGTTAGAAGCCTCCTCCAAGCGTGGTGTTAGATATCACCAAAAGTGGCGTCCTCCCCCGTCCAAAAATTCCTCTAAAAACGTTCTCTCCTGTATATATACCAAGTAGGGATGGGCCCAAACAATTATACCTTCTCCAATGTGAAAAAGGACACTTTTCCCGGGTTACTAGCGCGAGCTCGCGCATCCTTCGCGCGGTCTTCGCGCACCTTTCTGCCTCGGCTTGTAATACGCGTGAACTATGCACGACTTCGCGCGTTCTTCGCGTGTTTTTCACCCTGTTCCGTTCTGAATTTGGAAAAACGTAAAACATGAAAGTTGTAGCCCTTTGAGTTAGTTTTCCAACCATATATTGTGGAGCCAAAATGGAGTTCTGAGCAAAAAGTTATATCTATTTTACTAGACAGTGCGCAATCTGCCTACTGAAGTCTTCGTTTGCTCTAACTATCATCCGTTGACCCCCCAACACGATCCCGGCTTAATTCCTTGAACTTTTACTCAGACTTCAAAGCTCCAAATCACTTGAATTCATAACATCTTCATAGCTCGGAATCACTCCTACAAGGCATAAAACACACAGTTAGTGCAAAACACTAGCGATTAAAGCTCAAACTCAATTAAAGTGCAGTAAAATTAGAGTGTAATAATCGACTAAAATACGTAATTATAGCCCATCATCACTGTGTTATAATTTTTCGGCAAAGGGGGTTCGCTTGAACCCCTTCCGCTCCTAAATCCGCCCCCGATTAAGTATGGGGATGCTTTGTGGATTAAATTTAAAAGAAGTTTATTAGATAGTGACCTAGAAACTCAAAACGGGATAAAAGAAAGTGCAGCCTTATTCCTTTAGGGTTAATCCACGAAAAGACTACTTTGGCATCATGTAATGCCATGGGCCAGTCAAAAGCGCAACCACCTTTCCATGACAGTAAAAGGAATTTAGCAAATTCTTTTGGGTCATCACTTTTCACTTTTATCTTTGGTTTGCTCACTATTCAGTATTCGCTCGCCCTTTCAGCCAAGAAATATAAAAAATAGAAGTGGAAAAAGTTTGAAAAAGAAAAATATGTCTCCGAATATTACCTTTTGTTCTATAATAATCCTTTCTGTGTCAACAAATTAAATTTTAGTTTGGTATAAACATAAAAAGTAAGACTCCATTCACTATCGTTTCATTTTATTAACCCTTCTCAGTTAGGTGTGTCAAAATTGATCGACCCCTTATACGTTGTTTACAAATTAAAATCATAACTTCTCTATCTACATCAACGAGCAACCACAAAGTTATACTAACAGATAAAGAATTATGTAGGCTGGAAACTTGGAGAGGGAGTCACAGTTTTAGACAAGAGAATAAGGGAATGAAAGAAGTCCATGAATCATTATCAGTATAACCTGCAGATAGACCCCCTCCCCCGACACCCCCCCCCCCCCCCCCCAAGGAAAAAAATTGCTGTTTTAGGCAGTTTAATTTGCAACTTGACAACTATAACACTAACATTTTTTTAAACTTAATCTTTTATATGAGTGGGAATTTTAAATCCATTGATAGTGGTTACACAAAGGATTGAAACCTTAATAAAAAAAAATGAATTTGAAAGTTACTGGTGGTTACACTTGAAGACTACAGTATCCAAGTTCCTCAAAAAGTCAATTTAGTTTCTCTACTTTTAGATCCACTTTGAATTCAACATGATAAAACTTCAATTTTAGCTAAATAATCTTGTCCATACTAAATGGTAGCAAAATTTGGATGGAGAGGAAACAATAACTTTCGTAGTTAAGTTTCCAAAAACACTTTAAATCCTTAATTAACAATCTAATCCTTGGTATTTCGGAAGACAACTTACATGCTAAGTAATGCAGGCCACATGGGTTGTGAACAAAGTAATTGAATTATCCAATCCCACGAAAAAAAGATAATGCATCATATTGCATGCAAAACCACCACTTTATCTTTCTTGATTGACTTAGGAACATGATATGAGTTGATGACACTACTCTTTTTCACTCGTCCTAGTCACAATCCACGTATTTTTTAAAGAAAATTTCCTCTATTCAGAGAACCAAAAAATAGAAGTCTCTGGAGCTATAGCTTCTATATGACTTTCAGCAGCCAACCTTAAACAACAATGCTAAGAAATAGGATTAGTTTGCAGAGAATAGATCAATTAAGAATGTAAAAGAGAAAAGTAAAAGTGATGCTAGCTCTTTCATCCAACTTTTTACAAAGAATCTAGCGTGTCTTGTCTGCTGCTTTTGATTTTGGATTAGCAGAGATCGTCGTCATCAAAGTCACAATATACCCTCTAAATGCACTATATATAACTCATTATCGCCCAAATGCAACGTCAACTTCTATTATTACATAGTACTTACTATATATAACACAAGAACTAGAGTTACTTCGAATTTGGGGATGGCGGACATGCAGATAGTACCGGCTGGGAGAAATGTAGAACCTCAGTATGTGGAAATGATGGTGCCTCTCTACTCTTATGGTTGTGAGAGAAAAGTCAACAAGGCTCTTTCCCATATCAAAGGTAAGCACTATAATGCATTATTTCTTTCTCTTTTTAGTAAATTTTCATCTATAATTCAGAAATATGTTTTTAATAATCTTAAAAATCAGCAATCATGTTTTTGTATTGAGTTTGTAGAGTCTTGACTTGTCTGTTTTAAGTCTCTCTCTTTTTTTTTTTTTTTTTTTCTTCTAATTAACACAAACGCAGCCTTCCCAAATGCATGGACCAAATGGGGGGAAGGACGCAAATAGTCATTTTTAGGGACCGCTCTTTAAGCATTAGCCAGTACTATTTTATCCTGACAATTTGAAGTAAAATCTTAATTACTCCCTCCGTTTCCTGACAATTTGAACTAAAATCTTAATTACTCCCTCCTTTTCAAATTAGATGAGGTACTTTCCTTCTTAGTTCGTTCCAAAATAAATGACACATTTCTAAATTTGGATATAATTCAACTTTAAACTCTTCATTTTACCTATTTTACCCTTAATGAAAAGCTTGTGCTAACTATGTAACATGTTCATGACCTGGCCTGAATCGTGTAATGCCATTTGGTCGAGTTCTATGCTCATTCATTTTTCATTTCTTTTTTTGCTTGTGTGAGACATAGATTATTCGAAAATTACAATGGTATGGAATATTTCCTGGCGATAGAAATAGAAGTTATTTGCAGGGTTGTATATCTCATCAGTAATGACTAGGCTAATCTACTCACCGTCTTCCACTTTTATTCTAAATTTTCGAAACCAACTTTGCACCCATTAAAATGATGGATTTTAATTTGTGGTACTTTGCATCGACTTACTCTTGGCATAGTTACTCTTTAAACTTGTACTAATACCAGTGATATTGTATATCAAATTATAGGGATATACTCAGTGAAGGTAGATTTCGAACAACAGAAGGTGACAGTATGGGGAATATGCAACAAGTATGACGTGCTAGCCACAGTAAGAAGCAAAAGAAAAGCAGCTCGTTTCTGGAATGCAGAGGACAACGCTGGTGTAATGCAAGAATCGGAATCAGCTTCAGATTCTTCATCAACTCCGCCTTCTCGGCATCGATTTAGACCATCTGCACCACCTTTGGCTCTCTTAAGGACTCGATCACTAAGCTGGAGTGCTTTGAAAAAGGCCTTCACAAGAACATACTCTTTCTAATAACTTATTCCCAATTTCGTTACGTACCCTTTCTCCTCGCCACACGAGTAGGAATGTCTGAGCATGAATGTAACCTTTTTTTTTTTTTTTTTTTTTTGTAAATAGTTGCCACTTATGTCGGCGATTCAGTTTCCCATCCTTCTTTCCTACTCTTTTTTGTTTGTGGCACAAACAATTTATATATATGTATGAATTGGGTCTGTTATTGGCGTAAAGTTGGTCACCTAGCAGGTTAGCACCACTTCTGACTCAGTTGAAGTTTTTTTCCTTTTTTTGGCGGCCAAATTTGTTACAACTGACACTTCTTCTTAGTTCAGGCCATCACTCTTGGCATCCTACCATCAGTTGGTCATGACTGGCTCTTCTAACTAAGGCTGCTTTCTGGGCCGGGGCCGGGCCTAAATGGGCCAAACGGGTCGGTCCTTACGGTCCCGGGCTTTGGCGGGCTGTGCTTTGGCGGTCCCGGGCTTAACGGGCCTAATGGGTGGAACCGGCCCACTGTGGGCCTAAGACCACATAGTCCCGGGCTTAATGGGCCGGGCCTAAACGTTCCATGCTGTTTTTTTTTTGAATTTTTTTATCTAAGGCATTTTCTTGTAAATTTTATATGTACTATATAATTGCTTATACGTATATAAAAATTTATATATACATATATAGTATGTATAGTATATATAGAGTATATATATTGCCTTATATATATATATATATATATATATATATATATATATATATATATATATATATATATGCCTTATATAGTTTCTTGTAAATATATTATAGAATTGTGACTTAAATCTTCTAAAGAGTTAAATTTAAACAAAAAAAAAAATTGCAAAGAAATATACGAGGGAATGCCTTATAATTTTTATTATTACGACATTAACAAAAATGGCAATATCTTTCTTAGTCTTCCTCCCCCCAACGAAATAAGCACAACAAGGTGCTAATACCACCATTAAAAGGAAAAAAAAACTAATAAAGATGTGCCTAAAAACAAGTTACATATTAGTCTACATATTATCTCTAACAAATTTCATAAATCCTTCAAGGTTCAGAGGAATTTTCGTTGGTGGTGGCGGAAAAGAAGCTTGTTCATCACCCCTTCCGGGGAAGCAGCATCCTCCACAAGTTCCGCTAGCATTTCTTCATAAGCTTCGTCTATCTCCGGTTGTGATTCAGCAAGTCCAAAATTTCTTCTTTCCGAACGGATCCAATCTCTGAAGAGTACTGATTTTTTCAAGCTCTCCCTCATAGATGCTCTATGATCACCGATTTGAAGTCTCGCTTGACTGAAAGCGCTCTCTGATGCCACTATTGAAGCTTGAACACATAAAATATCTCGAGCCATCCTTGAAAGAACCGGAAAGTATTTTTCTTTGTCCTTCCACCATTCCAAAAGATCAAAGGTGCCGTCTGGATTCTCTTTTTCGAGGCCCTGCAACAAATAAACTTGAAGCTCATTTAGATGTGAAGTATCACCAATATTATCACCTTGAGAAGCCCTGAACTCCGTCCAAGAACTAAGTGCTTTTAGGCCCGCAGTTCTTTTAGATGATTGCGAACTAGACGAAGTAGGAGTTGGAACATTTGGTCTAGATGATAAGCATTATAAATTGTTTGAGCATTTATTTTAATTGAGGCTTTTGCATCTGCAAGTGTAGAAAATTCCTCATCTGAAAGATCTAAAGCCTTATAAATATTTGAATACCAAAAGTGAGGACCTCCTAATTTCATGGTAGGATTTAACATGGCAGCAACACCATAAATAGGAGGGATAGGGAAAAAATATTTTTTAAACTTTTCTTTCATAGAATCAATAGCAAGTTGATAAATTAGTCCACCCTCTGAAAATTGAACAAACAAATCACATAGTGCTGCAATATAAACTAAACAGTTTGAAATAGTAGGATAATATTGCCCAGACAATTCATTTGTGGCAATATGAAATTGTTCTAAAAAATCTATAAGAATTTTAACATTAGTCCAATCTTGATTTGTAAGGATTTCATCATCGTCCTCACCACCAACACGAGCATTAAACGTTGCGTTTATTGGGTTTCTATATTCATATGCAATAACTAAACTTTCGTACATGTAATTCCATCTAGTCGGACAAGCTTTAGGAACCTTTCTCTCTCTAAGGCCAAATTCATCACATTTTTTAAAATAATCTCTAAGTCTACTTCTACAGTTTGAATAAAAAAGCCAATTAAGAGCCATTTTATTCTTTTCAATTCCCAAATTTAAAATATTTATACCATCACCGACGATTAAATGGTAAATATGACAAATACATCTAACATGAAAACAATTACTAAATGCAGGATTTAGTGTAGTTGTAAGCAAGCTTATAGCATTAGTGTTACCAGAAGCATTATCCATAGAAATTGACATTATTTTATCTCTAATGCAAAAATATCTACAAATATCTGCAACTGTGTTAGCAATAAACTTACCTGTGTGACGTGAATTAATTATTCTATAAGCAATAATGCGTTTTTGCATTTTCTATTCCTCATCAATCCAATGAGTGGTTACAGTAAGATAATCACAGTCATTACCACTTCTACCAATATCAGTGGTAATAGCAATGCGACAATCTATATGAGTAAATAAATACCGCAAATATTGTTCATGTTCATGTTTATATTTATAAATATCGCTCTTTACGGTTGCGCGAGGCCATCCTTTATAAGTAGTGTCACACCTCCTTTTTTACACACCTACCCCGAAGGATATACGTATAAGGGAGTTTTTCCATTTAAAGTGACATTATTCGAAATGGGATTATTTATTTATTTTTAGAGTCGCCACTTGGGATAGGTTTGGCTTTTGGTGTCCCAAGTCACCGATTTAATTTAAATCCCAAATCGAGGAAAATTTCGACTTCCCAATTGGAGTCTGCGAACCAGAAATTCTGTGTAAGGAATTCTGTTGACCCGAGGGAAGGTGTTAGGCACCCCCGGATCCCGTGGTTCTAGCACGGTCGCTTAAATTATCATAAATGGCTAAAATCTGGTTTTTATACATATTTAAACCTATAGCGCAATTTTAAGATTATTTACCGCTTTTAGTTTATTTTGTTTTTACGAAAGTGAATGCCGTTTAAGAGCGTGTTTTTGGATCACGTCACATGAAATGCACCCGGATCCTAAACACCTCTTATTCAACGTTTTGGGATTTGGATTTGGGTTGCATGAAATGCGCACCCGAGTTTAGGAAAGTAAAATTATTAAAAGCGTGCCTAAAGTGGCTAGCGCCTTATTAACTTTGCGGGAAGCCATGAAAATTTGTTAAATGGCTTGCCCAATTTCTAAAATATTTTAGTATAAGCATTTAATGGGGGCCCCGCAATTTATAGATTTGTTTGGCGAGGCTCGTCCCACTTTTATTTGAAGGATATCCTAAAGCATGCTATGATTTTCTATTGAATTTTGTCTCTAAAAGGGCCTAAATAATCAATGTTATAAAATTCGGGCTTCGAGTTCAAGTCCGGATTCAAACAAAAGGACAAAGCCTTTTAATTTGAACCCACCACCTAACTTGAAAGCCCAAATTTATATTATATTAAACTATGAAGTAGGGCATCTAAACCTATTCCACAATAATGAATTTCAGCATACTTTGGGCGAGAGTCCATCAAGCAGTGGGCTTATTCAGGAGCCCAAATTGAGAGTGAATTGTATTTGTGGAGTTATGCTATGCTCCAGTTTATGAAGCCTATTGTAATTGGGCTCTTATCACCTGACCAAGCCCAAGTCTCACCGGACACAGGATGTCCGATTTTATTGTGAATTAAACGAAATGCAATCTTGATTTCAAATTGGCCTATTAAACTCTTTTTACAGTTATTGTAATAAGGGATCCATTAATTTTAAAAACTAGGCAATCGTGCACGATTCAAGTGAAAAGCATACAAATAACCTGGAACTCGAACGGCCTACCTTTTAACATCTGTATTATGGACATGTAAATTCATGAGTAGTCACTGGTGTCCTCTCTAGTTTTGAGTAAACAATGTAACAAACGAAACCTTGTGATGAACTGGCTAATTTCATCAAACTAAAATCATGTTTTAAGTTTGATTATCAAACATGATAACAGGACTAACACGAATTAAGCCTAACACTGTTCAACAGAGTATTTATATGATTCTATAGCATATAGCAGTCGGTTAAGTCACAGTCCATACAGTCCTCTCAATGTACATGTTATAGTGTCCAAATGAATACAAAATTGCATTGTATTTAAACAAAAGTAAAATACAGCTTGCACTTTAATTTTTCTTCCAATTTGACTATACATCAGACTCGCATTCATAAGTCATTTGAGGCTAAGATAAGTACCTGGAATTTGAAGCAAACAAAAGGAAAAAGTCAGCAGCAGTACACAGCAATCAACAGCAGCTTTGGATGATTTTCTAACCCAGAAATGATATTATGCAGCCAGTAATCAATTTCAAATGAATATAACCAGTGAAAACCCAAAACCAGCTTGAATCAACTCAAATAAACCCAGAAATGACCCCAGGAACTTCTGAAATCCACAACTACAGGAACACCCGAAAATTCAAGCCATTTTCAACCTTTGGATAAGCTGGAGTTTTAATTCAGAACTGAGAGCTTTCAAACTACCCTACAAATTTCAATGGAATAGTGATTTTTGGATTTCTGTTGCCTCCCGTTTGCAGAAGCTTTTTCAGTATCTTTTTTAGGCTCCTCCCCTCTTGAATTGAACCCCAAGTAACAATGCCTTTATAAGCAAGTTACTAGGGCAAACTCCAGCTTTTATTTTTTACCCTTTTAGTCCTTTTAACTTCTCTTTTTAGCTAGTTAGTCCTTCAATTCTTGACTTGCTACCCAAGTTAAACCTAAAATTTATTAGCAAACCCCTACTAGAAGTTTCTAGGAAGCCTCTTGGGCAGTTACTTGAGAGATTTTCTCAGTACATTATCCAAGTTACCCCTTAAGCACCCTTATTCACACTAAAGACCAACCTAGGTCCAGTGGGTGCGGGTTATGGGCTCAATGTCTTAAAAGATGTAGCCTCAAGTTCAGGCCGAGCAAAATTCCCTGAGAATGTGATCCGTACTGACCTCAAAGCCCAAATGGCAAAGTAAAACCAAGACAGATTCAGGAAACTAAAAGGAACCAAACAAATTGATTAATCAAACGATCACCAACAAATAGGGGACTAATTG